CTTAGCCCTTGCATGTGATCCAGCCAATCCCTATCAAAATACGAATGGCATTTTTCACAGAACCAGAACAAGTAAGCCTAAATTTTATATGGAACCATACAAGACCCCAAATAGGGACAGCAATCCTGAGAAAGCAGAACAAAGCTGGAGGTTTTACACTACTTGATATCAAATTATACTACAAGGCTATAGTAATCAAAATAGCATGGTATTGACATAAAAAACAGACACATAGATCAATGTTTTTTTGAAGCATGCTTTTGGTGCTGTAGCTAAAAAAACCTTTTTGTGACTCAAACTCACCAAGAATTTCTGTTATGTTTTCTTCTAAAATTTTACACTTAGAGGTTATACACTTAGGTCTATCATTCATTTAATTTATTTTTTGTATACAGTGCAAGGTGTGAATCAGATTTGGAGAGGCTATTGATGAGTACTTTTACTTTGAATGTGAGAAGGCTCTGAGATATCCAAATGAAGATTCCAGCTGAAAGTTGGAAATAAGGATCTGTTGTCGGGAGAGAGGATGAGACCTGAAACACAGAATGGGAACCGCTGGCCTGTGAAGGTAGTCGAAGGCACTCTGAGAAAATGAGCATACTGCGGAAGAACAAAGAGTGAGAATTTAAAAGGGCAAAGAATGGAACCCCAAACAACAACAAGATTTTAAGGAAAAGCAACAGAAAAGGAATGAAACTTTTGGGCAATAGTCTTTTATGAAATTGAGTAGTGCTCTAAAAAGTTTTAGGAGAAAACAGAAAAGTGATAACGCTAAAGAAGTCAAAGGAAAAGTGAACTTGAAGAGAGTGGTGTGTGCAAATGCTGAGAAAGTTCAAGTAAGAAAACAAACAAATGAAGATAAAAAATATGAATAAAATGGCAATAACTATGGACTTATCGATAATCACCTTAAATGTAAGTGGATTAAGAGCCCCAATCAAAAGATGTAGGGTAGCTGAATGGATAAGAAAACAAGAGCCAGGCATATGCTATCTATAAAAGACTCTCCCTAAGATGGAAAGACATACATAGACTGAAAGTAAAGGGATGAAAAAAGGTATTTCATGCAAATGGAAATGAGATGGGGTATGAATACTTATACAGGACAAAACAGACTTTAAAATGAAGACTATAAGAGGCAAAGAAAAACATTACATAACAATAAAGGGATCGACCCAACAAGAGGACATCACCCTAGTAAACATCTATGCACCTAACATAGGAGCATCTAAATATATAAAGCAAATATTGACCAAAATAAAGACAGAGATCAATAGTAACACAATCATAGTAGGGGCCTTGAACACCCCACTGACACCAATGGACAGATCCTCCAGACAGAAACTCAACACAGAAACAGCAGCCTTAAATGACACAATAGACCAGATAGATTTAATTAATATTTTTAGAGCACTTCACCCCAAAGCAGCAGAATATGCATTCTTTCCAAGTGCACATGGAACATTTTCCAAGATAGACCACGTTAGGCCACAAAACAAGTCTCAAAACTAACCACTGAGATATCCCATGTTCATGAACTGACTTAATCTTGTTAAAATGGTATTATTCTCCAAATTGATCTACATGTTAGACATAATCTGATAATGGGTATGAGGTTTCTTTGGGGGATGGTAGAAATGTTTTAAAATTGATCATAGTGATGGTTGCCCAATTGTCAATGTATTAAAAACCACTGAAAAAAAATGTGTAAAAGATCTGAACAAACACCTTATATAACTATTGCACTGTGTTGTACAGCTGAAACTAATTCTAAAAAATGTGTATTTCATAATAAAAAATAATTTAATAAAAAAACAACAAAAAACCTAACAGCAAGGAGACAAACCACCAAAAAAAAAAAGTGTAAAAACCACTGAATGGTCCTAGAGAGAATTGTATGGTATATGAAGAGCAGTTTTAAACAAGCTGTTAGATTTTGTTTCTGCTTTTGTTTTTAAAGGAACCTCTGGACCTGCTAATTGGGAGTTATTAGTGACCTCAGTGAGAGCAGTTTCCACAGTGGTGGGAGGTGCACCCAGGTTGAAGAGGGTCCAAGAATGAATGGCAACAAATGTTACCTGCCATTCAAGACGTTGTGACAAAGGAGGTAGGGCAGTACTAGAAAGGGGAAGGTTTAAAGGGACTATGATTTTTAGAGAGAGAGAGATCATCTGTGGGATGGGGGGGGGAGAGCAAGAGCGAGAGAGAGCGAGAGCGAGAATCTAGGAGAGAAAGAAATTGAAGCTATTAGATCTGAGCAGGTGTGGGGCAGGGGGCAGTGACAGTTGGGAAGTGCTGGAGCCCATAGAAACTTGAGTTTCAAACACTGTACGGGGCTCTATCTTTTCTCTGATTTAAATAGGAAAAAAAATTCTTTCTTCCTTAAATCTGTCTAAGTCTGGCCTTTTCTTCCCTCAGATAACATGGCTGCTTTCTCCAAGCGTTTTTTTCTTTCTTTTAAAGATTTTTTTTATTGGGGAATTGGGGGAAGGGGAACAGACAAGTTGCTGTCATTTTGTTCTTCAGTCTAGTTGTGGAGGACGTTGCTTCACTGGCCCAAGTTGGCACCATCATTGCGCTCGTCCCGGGCGAGGCAGATCAGTCGCCAGCTTTTGGACGGCCGCTCATAGCAGCTGCTGGCTACACATGGTAGCCCATGGCAACCCACTGCCACAGGGGCTGCAGCCTATGCCGTCGCCGGCGACTCATGGCAGCCCAGCTCCAGGTTGAGCTGTTGTTCAGCATCTTAGCTGTGGAGGGCAGTGTCACTGGCCCTCATATGTGGGATCCGAACCGGGGCCCTCTGTCATCCCAGCCAGCTCTTAATCAATGCGCCACTCGGCCAGCCCTCTCCAAGCGTTTTTATCCTTTACATTTTACCAATTACTCCTTAGTAGTCAGGATTCAGGTAAGGGAAAGGATCACATTGCAAGAAATATTATAGTCTCCAAGGATTATAAATGAATCTTTATCTAATCCTTATTCTTTAATCTCAAGAATCTGGCTTTAATATCAAAGAAGTAAAATGACAGCATCTCTCAAAAATGTTAAGTTTTTGGTTAGCCAAAAATAGGACTAATGCCATCTATTTGGAAAGATATAAAACTGCAGTTATTTTCAAACTACTAAACATTCTTTTTCCCCTCATATTTGAGCCTGGATAACCATTTTGAAATTCTGGAACACATCCAGGGACCATCTTAATTTACCTATTCCCTAGAATTTAAAACAATCCAGTAATGGCTTTTTACCCAAACTCAGTTTCTGGGTTCATTATTTTGCAAGGTTGAGTCCTACCACAATATTTCTAAAATCTTTTTTTTCTTTTTCTGAATGCTTAAACTCAGTCCCAGTTGAAAACTTTTGACCAAAATTCCTCATGTTAAAAAGTTGGTGGTGAAAACTACATTAAAAGGTTAGTGATGTATTATCTTTATTAATTTTTCTATCTCTAGGTTATAACGTACATCCTGATGGGTGCTCTGATCCTAGGAAATGTAGCAGAACCATTAGTACCACAGCATACTGGTTCAGATGTGACACATTTGGGAAGGAAGAACGTCTAACCTCAGCAGTTATTCAGTTCAGGCAGCTTTCTTGCCATATTTCATTTTCATCAGCTGGAAGCTCAATGGTGTTAATTTTGGTTGAACAATTTGTATATGGATTGAATACCTTTTTTAGCCACGGTAGCAGACAATTGGTAACCTTCCTATAGAAATGTTGGCACAGAAACCAGAAGTCATGCAGTGCAGAAATAACTTTGTTACAAAGATGTATGTACCTCCTGACGCACAGAGTTATGTCATCATTCTGCCTTTAGCTATCCTGACTCACTCTTTGCATTGGTGTTCACATTGAATTAACATAAATTCAAGACAAAAATCTCTCCATATCACCTTCGGAATACTGACTCATTTATTTTTTTGTTGTATTACTCAATTTTACTAATGCATATAACATTTGTTTTGAATGACAGTAACTTTATTTACAGAAGACACACTGCGAGGTGATCTAACATAGTGGGAGGCACACTGCCTGTATTTAAATCCCAGCTCTGCCACCTACTAGCTTTATTACCTTGGGCGAGTTACTTGACTTCTCTGAGCCTCATTTTTCTCAGAAATGAAATGGGAATAATAGCACCTCAGAGGACTGCAGTGGGGATGAGAGGAGTTAAGCCACATCGAGTGCTTACAACAGCGCTGGGTGTATACACATCCTCAGTAAATGCTGGCCACTGCAACTAGCTTTTATTTTAAATTAACTAAGAAAATGATTCACATTATAAAATTTCAATCTAAATAATAAACACAGTATTAGGAAATTTGGTGGTGCTTGAGCAAATTTTGGGGAGCTGAACTAGCAAACCTTGGAGAACCAGGAAAGGTTAAAGCTTAAAGTGCTAGAACAAGGGTTCGAGCTGTGACTGTACCACCAACCAGCTGTGCAACCCTGGGCCCTGCTTTCGTCATCTGTGCCATAGAGATTCATCTACATGTTATTTCCATCCTCTAACAATCTACACTGCCTAAAACTCACACTCTTTTCTTCTGTCAGCTAAGTAGTACTGTTTATACAAATCTGAACAGAAGCAAATAAGTATCTGTAAAATGGTTTTCTGAAGTTAAAAATGAAAAATAACATGGACAGACCCCAAAGTCCAAAATATGAATTTGAGTGGCCCTGTGTCTTTAACACATTGCTTTATATGAACACTTTAATGAGAGTTCCTCTACATATGAGGCAGCCTTTCCAGGAGTTGACAAGGCACAGTACTGGGGATCTGGCCCGACCTTCTCAGGGCTGACCACAGGTGGGACTCCCTGCCTGTTATTCTTATATTAACAGTGTGATATCCCATAAACAGCTTCTCAGAAAAGAAAATCCAAATTGGTGGTACATCATTTCAAATGAAATTAAAATGACTTGATTTCTAAGATTACTGTACTTGTTTTATCTGAAATGCCTGAAATAAAAATTCATGAAAAATAAGAGAATGACGGTGTTTTACACATTGATTTATTTTAAAGCAAAATATATAAGAAAATGTACAGTGTCTCATAAAGCATTTGATATGTATTGGGTTGTTGGAAAAGTCATGACGTATTTTTTCTGTTTTTTGTTGCAAAATGGGGCATGACTTTTCCGACAACCCAATAGTTTCAAATACAATTTTAAAGCTTCAAATAAAGTCTTTAATCAGGATAAATATATACACTTTTAGCCATCAAAGTGCAATTTTAAAGGCAGATTTCAGATCTCTTAATGATAGCTAATGGCAAGCTTAAGGACATTAAAAATGTGCATGTATAAAAAATTTGAGGCAATTCATGAAAATGTTTTATAAACATTATAAACAAACATCTACCATATAACATGGGAGAAGGCTTCATAATCTACTTACAAAGGCTGAAATCCTGTCTTTTATAATACTATCAAGTTTTCATTACACATTCTTGTTTATACTTCCATAAGTCATCTTCACTAATATCAAGGGTAGGTTTGTGTTTCATACACATACGTGTATACATAAACACACTAGTTTTGCCCATCTATAACGCCCCATCATAAGAATATACTTGGTCTGAGGAACAGTCAGAGCATAGCAAAGTGCTGCTTTAACTGTTTAATTAAAAGCTGGGTGTCCACATGATCCGGAAATGCTGCTGCAGACTTCTGGGCAGCAACATAGCTTCTCTGCAGGTCTCCAATCTGTAAGATGGAGCAGAATAAGACCACAGAACGAGACATGAAAACATGAGTAAGGAAGTCAAAGCAAGGCATACTCTCTGCATACTGTAGAAAACGCAAAGGATCCTTAAAGGTAAATTGCTTGATTAGGCTACTTTGGTTTTAGAATTCTTTCACTTAGATAACAATTCAATCTTGAAAAATACATGAGAAAAATAAAATAACCAATTTGTATAAATATTTCTGCCTCATTACAGCTGTCTAGTTATAAATTCATAAACCTGTGTTTTCTTTTCCTGTCACTGACAGTGTTATAAAAATAAATAACATTTGCATGCGAAAACAGCCCTGTGTGGTTTCAGAAAGCCTGAGGACAGCTCTTTGTAATATATCACAAAGACATATTTTGATTAGGGTATTATCTTGTGGATAGAAATTCAAGCAAAAACTATGGTATTTAAGATACAAAAACATGCTCTGAGAGGTTTTAAATGGTGCTAGCACATTAATGTTGAAAAAATATCTGGTTTTAAAAGTTTATAAAGGGTGTTGCTGATTTACAATAAACTATGTGTTAAAATCCAGTCCTAAAGAAAAACACACAGTATCCGAATCATTCTGAATGTATCTTGATTCATGTATACATTTCTAAAGACAGCACTTTTCAGTGTGTGCACACACATAAATCTAGATAATTCAATTCTGGTAGTTTTTCTGTAACATGCATATGTGTTAAAAAACATAAGAAGTTTCCTTTTTTAAATCATAGCATTTCTTTCCAACATAGTATTTTCTCTAAAGGAAGGATAGCCTTTTGCTTAAAGAAACATCTCCTATGCGTTATATATTATTAAAATGTGATAATATTCCTGAAAGAAAGTAATCACGCCTTCTTCATGGTTTACCTAAGTGGCAGCGCAGCACAGTGGAAAAAACCGGGGCATCCCTGGGGGCCAGTTATGAGTTCTGAACTTGCTCATGACTCGAGAAAAGTCTTTCACGGGTAAGTTCCATAAATAAGGCTTGCATTCCACTAGAATGTAAGCTGCACAAGGTAGAGGTTTTTGTCTGTTTTATTCTCTGCTAACATTTTCTGTACCTACAATAGTGCCTGGTACATAGCAGAGGCTCAATAAACAAAACATCAGGTATATGACAAAATGAGTAAGGAAAGTAAGGGATACTTACAGTGCAGGGCTGCTGGGAGACTTAGCAAGTGTGTGGAGCACCTGGAACAGTGGCTGGTTCTTAACAAGCACTCAAAAATTACAACTTAGGAATGACAGCTTGTCTTATTTTCAAAACAGAAATGAGTGTGGATGGCTTCATGTTCATGCTATGAAAAATGACTTATTTTTATAAGGTCTTTTGGTCTATAAAGAAAGAGTCTTTACATCAGCAAACATTTTTAGCCATTTCCTTATCCTCAAAACTCACCTTCCATGTTAAAGGAAGGTCTCCAAGCAAAAGTTAGTTATTAGATGCCTTTTGTTTGTTTTCTTCTTATTATTAAAAATGGCACACGATTCCTATTAGCACTTGGATATTAACTGACCTGTAACACAATATTAACAGTTGCATTTTCCCCATATTGTTTATAGCTAAAAGAGCTTTCACTAATATCCTTAATTTTACAGCAATTGTGCTAGAGACTTGGCGGCAATATGATCCATAAATAATATATAGGAGTTCCTTGATGTAAACGCCAATTACTAAATCCTCCCCAAACTAAGAGTTACTTCGTGAGTATTTTTTCCATGATGAAATGTCATATTTTAAAACATAAAATCATTCTTCTGCAATCTGTAATGGTCAGATGATGAATGAAACAGATCAAATGATAATTGATAAAGAAAGAGAATACCTTATCAGAGATTGTTGCAAAATTAAAATGCGGCTCGTACATATGGGGTGCTAAAGATGACGCAGTTTGTAACAGTGCTCTTGCCTGCGTAAAAAAAAGAAAAGAAAAACTAAAGGTACATGAGCATATATCAGCACTATCCTTTACTCAGGATACGAGCTTAATAAACATGGTCCTGTGGTAAACACGGATGACATGCCTCAGGAAATACAAGTTACTGATGTACAACTAACTACTTACATCCTGCCAAAATTGTATTAATCATAAAATGCTTGAAAATAAGAGAATTGAAAACAGAATAGATTTAGTTACTTGAGAACCACCGTTCTTGTAAAGTTTATAACTCAATATGACATAGAACTCAAAATATGATCCTCCCAATGCTAAAAAAAAAAAAAAATTCCTATTAATCTAGTTTTTGTTGCTGTTGATTGATCTAGTGGGCTTCTAATGATCTGTTTTCTAATGCAACAAGAAAAACAACCAAAAAACCCACAGTAAATTTCAAACCCCCAAGTTCTGTGCTGGATGACGGTGAGCCAGCATTTATTACACTGCTGACCTGAAAATGACAATTGAACACAACCGAAAACGACACACACAAAGAAAATTTACATCATTCTTCTGCCCTGTAGGCTCAAAGGAGCCTACATTGCTGGGACCACTGAGTGACAGGAGATGCTCCTACAGTCACTGTTAAGACCACAAATTCAGCATTCCAAGCGGCTGAACAACCTGCCGACTTGTAGCTAAACCCAAAACCTCTATCCGTGACCCTGAGGACAAATTCATGTATCTTTTTTTAATGGAAAATAAAATGACAGTTCATGTAGGATGGTGAATATTCATTTTTTTGTGTTTGATTAGCTATTTTCTTTTTATGTATTTATTTATTTATTTTAAAGATTTTTACTGGGGAATTGGGGGAAGGGGAACAGACAAGTTGCTGTTGTTTTGTTCTTCAGTCTAGCTGTGGAGGACGTTGCTTCACTGGCCCAAGTTGGCACCATCATTGCGCTCTTCCCGGGCGAGGCAGATCAGTCGCCGGCTTCTGGACACTGCTCACATGGCTGCTAGCTGCTCACAGTGGCTGCTGGCCGCTCACGCTGGCTGCTGGCTACACACGGTAGCCCATGGCAACCCACTGCAGCAGGGGCTGCAGCCTACGCCTTCGCCGGCGACTCACGGCAGCCCAGCTCCAGGTCGAGCTGTTGTTCAGCATCTTAGCTGTAGAGGGCGCAGTGTCACTGGTCCTCATATGTGGGATCCGAACTGGGGCCCTCTGGTGTCCCAAGCCTGTTCTTAACCAACGCGCCACTCGGCCAGCCCAGCTATTTTCTTTTTAAGTTGAGGTATAACTAACAATAAAATCGGGTGTGTATCATGAAACCTTTCATCACTACATTTCAAATCAATTTTATACTAAAGAAACTACAATAACGGGGAAGGAAAAGCACCACTATGGGAACAAAGACAATCACAAAAAGCAGTTGCTTCCTACAGACATAGGTAAAGTTCTATGGCAGAACAAGTTCCCATTTTGGAGTAGTTTTTGTTTATAAAACACAAATCCATCTTTGTATTTTATACATTTGCTCTGGGGGAATTTATGAAATAAAGGTCCTATCCAATGATGTTTCTTTCCTTGTTTTGTTAAAAGTTTGTCATTGTGCTGAGACCAGGTTGGAGGACAACGTCCTGGCTTGCTGCTCATTATGTCTGTGACCTTGGGGACTTACTTACCCGCCTTGAGTCTCTGTTTATTATATATTGAGCATCTTAAAAATCTGTTATAATAATAATGCAATCTGTTAAGCATCTACCACGCACTCAATACTATGCTTCTACTGTGCTAAGTGCTTTACATGCATGATCTGCTGATCCTTACAAAACATCTTCAGGTACTTTTATTACCCTATTTTATATACTCATATCATCCGTTCATTTCACAGACATTGACTGAGTACCTACCATGGGCCGGGCACTGTTTTTGGTGCTGAAATAGAGCAGTTAGAAGACAGAGAAAGTGGGTCCCTACTTTCAAGCTGCTGACATTCTTCATTGAATACACATGAAAATACCTGATAAAATGGTAAGTGCTCTGAAGAAAAAAGTAGTAGATGTGATCGTGCCTGAGGGCACCTTTAGGCTGATGTCTGAGATGCCCTTTCTAAGGAGTGGCAATTAAGCTAAGACCTCAATGGAAAAAAAAGTCATAGCAGGATCTGAAAGAACAACTTTCCAAAGGCCCTAAAGTTAGAACAGGCACTGCATATTTGCAGAGCAGCAAGACAGCTAACTTGTCTCAGTCAGTAGAAAAGGAGTACAGAAGCCCTCCCCCTCCACCCCCGTTATCTGCGGGGAATACGTTCCAAGACCCCCAGTGGATGCCTGAAACCTTGGAAAGTATTGAACCCTATATGTACTATGTTTTTCCTATACATACATATCTATGATAAAGTTTAATTTGTAAATTAGGCACAACAAGAAATTAACAATTACTAATAGTAAAATAGAACAATTATGACGATATATAACAAAACTTATGTAAATGTGGTCTCTCTCTCTCTTTGATAATCAATCTGATACCTGAGACAGCTACTAAGTGACTAATATGCAGCGAGGATACGCTGGACAAAGGATGATTCACATTCTAGGCAGGAAGGAGTGGAACAGAGAACGATTTCATCATGCTACTCAGGATGGTGCATAAGTTAAAATTTATAAATTGCTGATTTCTGGAATTTTCCATTTATTGATAATATTTTAGGACTATGGTTGACTGTGGGTAACTGAAACTGAGGAAAGCGAAACTGTGGATAAGGGGGGACTACTGTAGTGGCAAAAGACGTGGTCTGAGAGGGAGCCAGAGGGCAGATTATGTGGGGCCTTGTAGGCCAAGGTTTCAAGTCAGGATTTTATTCCAAGTGAAAAGAGAAAGCCTTTGGAGGATGCTAAGCAAAGCAGTAAGAAAATAATCTTGTTTCATAAAAAAATCCCTTCGGCTGTTCTGAGGAGGATGTATTACAGGGTACACTTACTTGCTGATATAAGTGAAAACAAAGAGACCAGCAAGGAGACTCTTTCAGAGTCCAGGAGTGGTGAGCAATTTGGAGAAGGGTGGCAAGGGACGGGTCCAGAATGTGGCTTGGACATAGAATAGACAGGGCTTCCTGAACATGATGGGGATGTGGGGTGGCAGGGAGGGGCAGTCGGAAAAAAGAGGTGTCAAGGCTGGCTCCTAGGATTTTGTCTTGAGCAGCTAGGTGGTGGAGGGAGACTTTGATTGGAGGAACAGTTCGCTAAGACAAGGAAGGCTGGGGAGGTGCAGATTTGCCCTCATGAAATCAGGTGTTCTATTTTGGCTACAGAAAGGTTAAGTAACTTGTCCAAAGCCACATCGCTACCACATGACAGAGCTGGGATTCAAACCCAGGCTGGTCAGACTTTAGAGCTCACTGTTAAATTATAACAAGTAAGGATGCTACACATGACAGCTTCTCTGTGAAGGATGCACACCGTCCCCTGGGCCACTGACCTGCTCCACGTGGCCCTTCCGCATCTCCAGCACGGCCAGGTTGTTGTAGGCCTCGGCGTGGTGGTTGTTGTGGACCAGGGCCAGCCTGAAGCACTGATGGGCCAAGTTCGTATCTCCTATTCCCTGCAGAAGAAAAGCACATATCTGCACACACAAATCCATGTGCTTCCTCCTGCCATCGCCTCCCATCTTTCTTCATAGAAATCTTTTCTGCTACCACAGAAAAAGCAACAAGTACCAATCATATGAGTCAAGTGTGAGGTGCATGCAAAAGGATTTAACCTGGGAATAGAAACTGAGTTATGGTGACTCCTAGAAATCTCTAAATTGCTACAAAAGACTGCACAACCGAACCTGGATTGACAATACCTGAAAATGTCTTCCAACTAACTTGTGGCCACCTTTTTCTATAACAGAAATTACATTGTAGAAACAACATACCACAGCTACATGCCCCAAGTTGTACCAGACATCAGCGGCCTCTTCTTCGTTTTCAGCCAGGGAAAGGGCGCGTTCAAATGAGGTCAGAGTCATGTCATACTGCTGGGCGTAGAAGCAACAGAGCCCCAGATTGTTGAAAAGCTGGCAGTTGTAAACACCCATCTGCAGGAGACGTCTTTTTGAAAAAGAACACACACATTGTGGTGTCAGACTAACATTACAAATATTAAGACATATATATTTTTTACAAAGTTAGAAATAAATTCATTTTATAACTTTTAACACCCCCAAAGAATATAAATAGAAAGTATTATAGTAAATGAAAAAAATGTTAAAGCAAATACAAAAGCAGGTCTTTTTTAATGATTCGAGTCATGGGAAATGTGTCCAGAGGCAAACTTACAATTTATGCAAGTTCTCCCCCAAAAGCTTTGTTAGGAAACCAAAATAAGAGATAAATAGTCACACATTTTGGCTTCATAAAGCTTTGGTGCCCATAGATGAATTTCTAAGACCTTCTAATCTAGTTTGAAGACTGTGTTTAGTGTTTACCTCCAGGTTTCCAGCTGAGCTAAACCCTGTTTTTGGTTACGTGAATTTTGTGGGTTAGCTGCATCTACTGACCTCCAGTGGGATTCCACCAGGGAAGACAAGACCATCAGTGGACCCTCCTGTTATCCACTTAGCTTTCATGCTACAGCTCAAGAAGCCCGTTTGGATTCTATGAATCATTAACCCCAAAGGACAAAGGATAAGAGAGTTCAAATAAGCAAATGAAAATCCACCCAGCTGCCCCGAGCAACTCGTGGCCCACTTTGGGGATGGGGGAGCAGAGCCACAGCTGCATGTGACAAAACAGCATTCATATTATCATGTTTTATGCTTCCAACGTATGTTTGGAAAGAACCTTTGTCAGTTGCCAGTTATCTCCTTATATATAACCTAAGGGCTGAAGAGGAAATCAAAATTTAAAAATTAATCTCAGAAATCATCTGTAGGACAAAGTAAGTATGTGCTCACAAGAGAACGAGAAAACAGAATTTATTTAAATTGAAAAACTTTGTGGACAAGAGCTGACAATACTGCACAAAACAGGGGATCCTGGTACAGGTTCTCATCAGGGCTCAGAACCCGAGGCCCTCTGCTTTTTGCAAATCTCATCACTACGTCATCGTCATCTTCAGGGTCTTTCTATCATTGACAATGGTGTTAATGAAGGCAGTGAGGGTGAGAAGTGCTTCTGGTAACTATCAAACTGCTGTTGGTCAATGACAAAATGGCCGCTTCATACCACGATACAAGGTGAAAAAGTTGATTATTCAGGTGTGTTTCTACAAGATGCCAAATATCTGTGTGTTTCCAAATTATGACTTGTCACTTTAATGCTCACAAAAGAGCTGGGTGTTTGAATTTTTAGTCTCATATAGATACAGCCTACACATTACATTACTTCTCTACATTTTCATTCCACCGTTGTTATTGTTTCACCAATATTTTACAGGAAAGTAGTTGTAGAAATTGAAGGTCAAGCACACCTGTAAAACCGGAGAGCTATTTCTGGTTGATCAGAATAAAAGTGGTTACTTCCAATGCACGCAATGGCTTCTATGTGAGTATTGTCCTGTTTCAAAACTTCTTTGTAGTATTCAGCTGCTGATGAAATATTGTTCATTTCCTGTTCTCCATCAAGACAGAAGAGCAACACTTCATTAATATGGCCAATAAAAGTTGTTTTTTTTTCTGACTGGTTTACATTGTTTCATTCAATAAATATTTACTAAGAGCCTACTATGTGTCAGACTGTTCTAGGCCCTGGGGACATACTATGAACAAAAACATAAAGTTACTATCTTCAAGGAGGTTACATCTGGTAGGAAAGACAGACAAATGAACAAATACATACTGTGGGGTCAGGCAAGGATAAGCGTTGTACAGAAAAGCAGAGCAGGGTAAGGAGGGAGGGAGGGGGTGATCTGTGAACAGAGGCCGGACTGAGACCTGAGCACAAACGGGGAAGCGAAAGGTGGGCAGAGGGAACAGTGACTGTGCGAGCCTGAGGTGGGAACACACTTGTCCCGTGTGAAGAGCCACGCAAAAGCGAGTGAGGCTGCAAAGAGGGAGACAGGCACAAAAGGGGTCAGAGGCAGCCAGAGTTCTGTTAGTCATGACGAGAACTTCAGGTTTTTTCCTTAAATTGAGGGAAAGCCATTAGAGAGGTAAGAGCAGAGGAGTAACGTGATTCTATTTATGTTTTTTTTTTTTAAGATTTTTATTGGGGAATTGGGGGAAGGGGAACAGACAAGTTGCTGTCGTTTTGTTCTTCAGTCTAGTTGTGGAGGGCGTTGCTTCACTGGCCCAAGTTGGCACCATCATTGCGCTCTTCCCAGGTGAGGCAGATCAGTCGCCGGCTTCTGGCCGCTCACGCTGGCTGCTGGCCACACACGGTAGCCCATGGCAACCCACTGCAGCAGTGGCTACAGGCTACGCCGTTGCTGGTGACTCACGGCAGCCCAGCTCCATGTTGAGCTGTTGTTCAGCATCTTAGCTGTGGAGGGCAGTGTCACTGGCCCTCATATGTGGGATCCGAACCGGGGCCCTGTGGCGTCCCAAGCCAGTTCTTTTTTTTTTTTTTTTTTTTTTTTTTTTTTTTTTAGCTGAGCCATCCCGCCACCTGTTGGCAGCTCACGGCTGCTCAGCTCGGGCTGACTCGAACCACTGTTGCTCAGAGCTCAAACTCTTGAGCGAGCTCTTAACCAACTGAGCCACTCAGCCGGCCCCCCAAGCCAGTTCTTAACCATCACGCCACTCAGCCAGCCCTCTAGTTACGTTCTTAAAGAATAACTTGGCGGTTACACATAGGATACACCAAAGTGGGGAAGAATGGCAGCAGGAAGACCAGGAGTCTCCTTGATCATCACAAATGATGCATTTCATGTTATTAATGAATGTTGTATCTCTCAAGTGCACCTTCAAGGCCAGTTCATGCTCCACATCCCTGAAGAAAATTTCCCTAGTACCCTCACTTCATAAAACTCTCTTCTGTTTCTCAATTTCCATGACACTTATTGTGTGAACCACTCACTCCTTGTCATATGAGGACTCATATTTTTGTTAGATTTTAATCACAACGTATTTTATTAAATCTAAGAGACTCCACCAATTGTAAGAAATACCACACAATGCTTTTTATGACACAGAAAATTTTTTTTACCTCCATGGGCTTCAGTTGTGTGTGTGTGTGTGTGTGTGTGTGTGTGTGTGTGTGTGTCTGTGTGTTTATTTAAGAACTTTAATTTTTTAGAGCAGTTCTAGGTTCATAGCAAAATTGATGGAACAATACAGACATTAATGCATTTTATTATTCAATATCAAAAAATGTATCCATTAATATTATCACCAATTTCATCAATGTTAGTATTAGAAACTATTTTTGTGGACCCCTTGAAAGGGGTCTCAGGGACCCCCAGGAATCCCTGAGCCACACTTTGAGAAATGCTGATATTAGAATGATACTTGGGGCCTTTCTTCCTACTCACTCATCCGCATGAGAAACAGAGCAAGCCTGTCTCAGCCCCTCTGGGTCTCTGGTGGTAGAATTTGCCCAAACCGGTGTCAGGAATTATTGTAAAGCTAAAGTTATCAGACAGCAGGGAGGATATCTCAATGGGACTTTTCATGGAATTTGACAACATGACTCTAAAATTTATAAGACTAAGCAAAAGTCCAAAATAGTCAAGACATTCCTGATGAAGATGAATGAAGTGCCCTACCAAATAGTAAGTTTGATAAGTAATTAAGATGGTATAATACTGATATAAGGTTAGACAAACAGACCAACAGAACAGAAGGCCCGAAAACATATCTACCATATATAGAAAAAAATTTATATTTGACATTACAGACCTTGGGAAAAGGATCAGTAAACGTACGGGGACAACTAGCTATCTACAGGGAGAGATATCGCCCTATCTCGTACCATTTTCTATACTCTTCTGTATGTTTGAAGTATTTCATAATAAACACTCAGCTTGGCTAAATGCATACACTAAAATCTTTCATTCTATTGGTGAACTACAGGCCCACCATCATAGTTTTATAAATTGTTCTCCTTGCTAGGACTCCAAGAGATTACGGGCTTACTTAAGAAGCATAGTCTTGGGCCGGCCGAGTGGCGCGATGGTTAAGAACTGGCTTGGGATGCCAGAGGGCCCCGGTTCGGATCCCACATATGAGGGCCAGTGACACTGCCCTCCACAGCTAAGATGCCAGGTTGAGCTGGGCTGCCGTGAGTCGCCAGCGACGGCGTAGGCTGCAGCCCCTGTGGCAGTGGGTTGCCATGGGCTATGGTATGTAGCCAGCAGCCAGCGTGAGCGGCCAGCAGCCGCAATGAGCGGCCGTCCAGAAGCCGGCGACTGATCTGCCTCACCCGGGAAGAGCACAATGATGGTGCCAACTTGGGCCAGTGAAGCAACATCCTCCACAACTAGACAGAAGAACAAAACGACAGCAACTTGTCTGTTCCCCTTCCCAATTCCCCACCGCTGTTCCCATCCCCCCAATTCCCCAATAAAAATCTTTAAAAAAAAAAAAAAGAAGCATAGTCTTAATTTTACGTCAATTTTTTGAATACTGTGAACCTTACCTCATAGATCCTGGCAATTCCACAAAGCAGGGTTACTTCTCCTGGAAACTTATCTAAGCCTTGCTTGAAAAGATTTAAAGCAGTCACAGGTTGATCCAATGAGATGTAAACCTAAAACCAAGATACACTTCAGTAAAAGTACTGGTTCTTAAAATAATATAGTATTTGTCATGATAAGTTTATAATTATTGCTTAGTAACAAAAATCATCTCCTAGATATTACAGTAAAATTTCTTCAAATTGTGTAGGATTAATTTCCAATAATGATGTTATAGTTTTATCTCCACATGTTGTATATAAAGCATCCATTTATTTATTCCTTCAACAAATGCTCATTGTGGGCTTACTATTGTCACAGAGACTAAGCAGTAACTAGACCAGAAAGGATGAAGGGACAATCTTTTTAGGGTAGAACAGACATGAGCATGTCTACTGGCTGGCACTAAGCCAGAGGTTGAAGTCGAAAATGCAGGGACAAAGGGGGATGACCATGGAACAAGGGCTGAGAAAGCAGCAGGGGAGAGCTTGTGGAGAGAGTGATTTTGAAAAAGCACCCTCCAAAATAAAGGGGAAACAGATTTGTGAGGTATGGGGTCAGGGAGTTGAGAGAGTTAGCACTTGATGGCTTCCACTTAATTAGCAATTAGGATATTTGAATGAATAACCCATGTACCTAAGAGGAATCTGTAAAATAGAGAACTATTTTATGTATAGAAACATAAGATTATGACAATTTTTTCTTCGTGATAATAGATCCTCTATTTCTTCCTAAACAGCTAGATTGTGCTTTGAAGAATGGCCCAAATGGATACACAGAAAACTTTTTACCTCACATGCTTCTAAATTGTTTTTTAAAATACAATAATCAATACAATTTAATATGCTAAGTAATATAAAATATTTAATAATTTTTTAAGTTAACCATCTAAAATTTTAGGGAATAATGTTGTTTCTAAAATCTGCTTGAGCTCTATAACTTAGCAATCATTCCTTAACATACTAAAGAAAATAATTAAATTTTACCTCTATACAGGCATGTAGGCAACAATGGGTTTAAACAAATCAATTTATGGGAAAATAGGTCAAACCATGTATTTAACAATAGTTAAAATTGAAAGTACATTTTTTAGCCATGTGACATGTGATCATCAACTAAGATGATACTCAATGGTGTGGCCTGAATTTTAATTTCAAGCTGTCAGGAAAATTTAAAAGTCCACTGGGATACATAGAAACTTCTTTAAGAAGTAAGTTTAATATACAATTGTTAAATAGAAGATAAAGATACCAGACAGTTTCAAACATTTTTGAAAGCAACTGTACGCGTACTAAGATTAGCACAGTACAGATTGGCACAGATTAGCAAATTCTATAGCTTACCTTTCATTTTGTATCCTTTTAGTATGCTAATTTCAATACCATATTTAGAAAGTAGTCGCACTTCCTTTTATATTTCATCTTCTTTTTAACCTCCTTTCCCACATTTTTATAATTTAAAAACATCTTAAATATACAGAAAGATGATGTCATAACAACAGCTTCATCAAATATTTCTTTTCAAGTAGACTTGATGGGGGTTAAGAAGTAACTATCCTAACACTGAAAATTCTGGGTGGCCCTTCACTTCCGTGGTGGCTGTGGGTGGCACTAAGAGGCAGTGAGTAGGCTCTGGCATAGGTCCTGGGTTTGAATGCTGGCTCTTAACAGCCAAGTAACCCTGAAAATCTTAGCCTCTTTAAGTCTCTTTTTCCTTAAGAGTACAAAGGAAATATTAAAACCTACCGGCAGGGTTGCCATAAGGGCTAAACTGCATATGGAACAGACCTGCTACAATACCTTACACTGAATAGGTGCTCAATCAAAGGGAAACATTGCTTTTGCTATTATGACAGAGCCAAGAAATCAAAGATCTAGATAAAAGCAATCCCTGTTCTCTACAGTCTGCTTAGGTGAGAGACAGTGTGTTATAAAAAAGGGGGCCTCGCAGGGGCCTGTTACCCATAGGGTTGGTTAAGCCTGAGGTTTTTCCCTCTGCTTTAACTGGAAATCTTTCAAAAGGGTTTTCTTATTTTTTATGCAATCAATTTCTCCTGAAATAGTTATTCTCCATATGGTCTCACTTTTTCCCTTGCTGGAAAGAAATATAAGTTAAATCTGTACACATTAACTTGCCAAAATATTCCCAAAGAAACTGGCAACTCTCCCCATGCATTGGCCGGAATTTAAACATTTACTCTGAGAAGACAGATTTCACTCAAATTAAGAATATTTACTTACTTTTGCCAAGTAGAGAAATGTATCTACCATTTCCTGCTGCTTCAGGGCTGACTTAAACTGCTTTTCTGCGTCACGATACATGCCTAACCTAAGAACAGCCATTAAAAAAATTAGATGTTCAACTTAAAAATAAATACTATGACATTTCTTCATATCATGAGGATATGAATAGAGGCAAATTACATCCACAAGAGTAAGCATGTACTAAAGAAGGTAATATCGTACTCATATGTTAATATCATCATGTATATTTATACAGTTTAGCAAAAAGTTGCCTAGTGCCCACGTTCACTGTCTTTCTAACCCTCAAATGCTGAGTCAAGAGTCTGTTGGCAGTCTAGTCACAGCAGAACTAATAGCTGGCGGTGAGCCAGGCCACACAGTTCACCACCCAAAGAGCTTAGGATCAGCTGGACCTACGGCAAGTGACCTGAATAAATGCCTCGAGTCTCTATTTTACTGGCACAATTAAAGGATGACATTTTTTGGAAAACATCTTCTGCTGAGACAAAACCCCATTTTTAAAGCCGTTCTTAAACAATTTTGATGTAAGTAGTAATTGCCACTTGAGGATACAGCAATCCCATTTTATTATTCTAGAAACATTTTCTTTTCCTTTTTTAGTATCTGAGACTGATTGTCCTAGTCTACAAATCTGAGATTTGGTCCCTGTGTAACTATAACTGTCCCGATGTCAGCACCAATCTCTGCCCAGGGGACATTCCGATACCACTAAATCAATCACTGAAGGACACTTCAGCCCTTCCTCAACAGATCTGTGGGGCTTTCTCATAACTAGTCATCCCCAGCTATCTAAGAGCTACTTGGGCACTTTATAATAATGCTTTCATTTTGTGAAATAAAGTCAGGACAATACACAGTATGTTCCACTGTGCTACTTTCACTTAAAGGCTTGAAAAAAAATAGCTTTGATCATTTTTCTAACCTAAGCCTCAAGTGTTGGTATGGCTATACCCAAATAGCTGTTAGAAGACATGGGATGAAGGAGGTTAAAAGAGATTTTTTTTTAAAAAAACTGGCCTAAAGTTAGAGATATGGCAGAAGCCCACACCTCTTCAAAGGTCCCACAACTTTTACAAGATGTATTTACAAAACATTATCAAAGAACTCTAAAAGTTCTGTAAAACAGCATATTTATACATTTAACTTCAACTGAATATGCAAGTCTTAAACACACACGGCTGAAGTTCGGTCACTGAATTCCATGAACACCTAATTATTCATGGGAGTCTGGACATTTTTATCTAATAAACTGTCTCTTCCAAAAATTATTTAAAAGGGACTACAACTTTCCATCACCACATATTTGATCCCTTTTACCTTCATCTACCACCCTCCTCCTTCCTTACCTAACAATTGTCACCCCAATAAACTCTAATTAAAAAAAAATTTTTTTAACCAAAAACTAAAAGGGATTACAACAAAAGGACACATATAAAACAAGAACATGAAAACAGAAATAGATTTTTTTAAAACCTTGGAGATGGAAGAATAAAAAAATTAAGAAACAAACAAGAAAGCAATCAGAGCTATTGAGCTATCTGGAAACCAAAGAAAAGAAGGAAGGATGGGTCATATGTTTTTTATTATTGCATCCTCAAGAGATAATTTCTTCTAGTATTTTCAAAAAGAAGTTTATCCCATGGGTTCTGGTGCAAAGGAAATGGAGTGGGCCATATATAAAGAAAGTCTAGGAATAATGAAAACATCAGTCAAGTTCATGAACACAGGCCAATATCAGAGCCAGAGTCCAACGGTAATCCCCAACAACTGCCAACTTTTTCTCTCCAATTTAATTCAATAAACATTGTCAAGCACCAACTGCACGCACATTTCATGAAGGCAAGGAGATGCAAAAATGAAGATAACAACCATGCACTAAAGGTACAAGTAAAGACTGAAATGAAACATGCTTGGGCCAGCCGAATGGCTCAGTTGGGTAAGAGCTTGCTCAAGAGTGTAAGCTTTGAGCAACAGGGTTGCCGGTTTGATTCCCGGCCTGAGCTGAGGTGCAGCTGAGCTGCGAACAGGTGGCAGGATGGCTCAGCTAAAATTAAAAAAACAAAAGAAGAAAGAAACATGCTCACAAATAAATTTAGTTTTATGGCAACAAGGGGGGAGGGGGAGAAGTGCTTTGAGAGCACAGAGGAAGAGTGGACCAAGATAGTTTCAGGCAAGAAGTGGCAGACAAGATTGTGACAGCTAGACAGGGTGGGGTGAGGGAGGAGGGGTATTTCAGCTAGAAGCAAACTATCAGAATAAGTACACAGGCAGGAAAGTACACAACACGGTAGGGGAATGCTGAGTTGTGCTGGTTACAACGAAAAGGACACAATAAGGAATGAAAGAAGTGAGAGATACGGGCAAACGTGCAGACAGACTGGGATGAGGCCGTGGAGGCCACACCTAAACCCAGACTTCAGTGGTAATCGGGATTAACCAAAGAATCTAACAAGAGTTGTTTTTTCACAATAGTTACTCTGATGGTGTCAGGACTAATGGGGCAAATAAATGAAGGCAGAAAACCCAGAGAAGGAGCTAATGTAACAATTCAAAGAAATGCCCCCTGAATGTCACAGTGTGGGCTTGGGGGCGGAACTGGGCAGCAAGGGAACAAGTGTGAGAGCTACTGCAGAGGAAGAACCAACAGAACTAAGTGATCAGCAGCAAAGAGACAGAAGCCAATTGGGGGCTACGTCAGCTGGTCATGCATCCTTGACCTGTCCACTCGAAGCTCGGAGCTCTTTCTCGGGGTTCCCACTTCACCTGCCTTACTTTTGTCACAATGGGAACCATGCATATAGTTGTGTACTGGACTCTCTCCACCTTCGACTGTAAACCATTTGAAGAAAGGGATTATCTAATAAATAATTGTTTTCCCAGTGGTTGGCAGAGTAGCTGCTCATTAAATATTTTACTAAGTGAGTGAGTGAATGAATGAATGAATGCGGTATCCATAATAAAGATGAGATGCTATTAAGGAACAGAGAAGAATGATAATTAATATGACAAAGTGCACTCATCTTAATACCGTCCTATGTGGATGGCAGAATGAATCCGAGTTGTGCTTATCTTTAATTATTAAAGGTTTCTGAAGGTTTTGCTTAGAAGCTCAAGATTTCAAGCTTGTTTTCAGAAATTATATTCATACGAGTTTAACGTTATAACAGTCTAAAATTACCTTTTAGCATAAAACACTTCCTCAACCTAACAGTAGGAAAAAATACAACATGAAATATCTAAATGCAAAGTAGTAGCCTAAATTTCAACAGGAGAAAATGCATACATTGTTTTTTCCATTTATGTATTTCCTTTCCTCACAATGAATGACTGAAAACTAAAATTTATAAGTACTGAAGAATGCTCACACTAATTCGTCTACCTTGTTTTTGAATAACAAAAGACATTTATCTCTATAAAATGTAATTGTTCATTTGTCCCTGCTTTTCTAATGCTCCAAGCGCATTTAAATGTCAGGGAGCAAGTTTCAGATCCACTTTACAAGTTGCTGTATGCGTATAACATTCATAAAATTAATTACAGGGTTTCTGATCTCTCAATTAATGTGCTTAAAAATGTGTTTAAACATTAAGCGAATTAATGTAAGAATATTCAGATCCTAAAGAAACACGATGGCATTGTGCAAATAGTAAGAGAACACGCATCAAAAGGCTGAGCTCAAATTCTTGTTCTGCCACTTACATGCTATAGGAATTCAGGCAAGTCACTATCTTTCTGAGACTCAGTTTTTCTCATCTGGACAACGGCTAATAATAGAAACTATCTCCAAGGTGTTGCGAGATTTACGTGAGATAACGGAACGTGATACACTATCGGTTAAGTACAAAGCACTTTACGAATGTGAGGCAACAGTGGGAATAAAAGAGCCCTGAGAGCCAAGATGGAGAGGGAATTGACAGACTCGATTCTAGCCCCAGGTCTGTTACGAACAGGTTCTTGATGCACATCAGCCTCTCTCTAGCCTCAGCTCCCTCACCTGAAAAGGGGTGCTGCACCTGATGGTCTCAAAGTTTCCCCTTCCCAGCTCTAAAATTTTATTATTCTAAAGGTGTCAGGTCTTGGTGCCACCATGCTATGTAAGTGCTTTTTCAAGTAAGCCAAAGACACAGTTCTCATTTCTTCATGAGGAAATCTATCTCCCCTGCAAAAAAAAATTAATCAGATTTGACCCTAAAATATGTGGCCACTTCTAAGCCCTTCACAAATAATGCAAATTTTACCTGTAGTAACATTTTCCAATCTGCACTTTCCACCACCAGTCCTTGTACTGAGAATACTCTGTGGAAAGGGCAGCCAAGTCCAAAGCCTTTGAAAACAAGTCATTTTAGGTTAGGATTTTCTTTTCTAACAACACACAGAAACAATAAATAATGAAATAAAGCACATAATTAGCATCCATCAAAACATGCATTAGAAATCAGACAGAAACTCAAGTTATTCATGTTTCCAGATGGGCCCAACCAATTTTCCCTAAATAATCAGTTCCAGACCAGAGGGCTGACAGCAGATGAGGAGTAAACACTGATTAAAGAGAAGCAGATGTACAATGTATTTGAATACAATTTTAATATACAAGGCACAAAATTGATATTTTAAAAATCCGTAAGTTTTTACCCTCTCCCTGCCATTTATTGGCTGTCTAAAGACTCAAAATGCCTCCATGCTCAGTGGCAGTCAAGGCTTTGGTGTGTTAGCCAGGCCTCACTTTAAAATAGAGATGGAGGGAAACAGAAAAAGATCAAGTAAGCAGGTAGAAAAGGTCTCAAATACAGGATCATGAAGAAGAGCGAAAGGAGCTGGGGTGCTTGGGTAACTGCCATCATCAAAAACCTTCATTCCATTATTCTGATAGCACCTTAGATTTCAGTAATTCTAAGGCTCAGACTTTCCTTTGCTGCAGATTGAAAAAAATCTTCGTAATTGCTTTCATATTTTACATGTGTTTATCCCATCTCTCTAATGTCTCCTAGTTTGTTCTTTCTACTGTTTATTCAAGATCTGACAAGAAATTACTAAATAGAAATTAGAATTTTATACAGAGGAGGTGGAAACAATTACAAGAAAGAATTTCATAAATAAAAGCCATAAATTTATAAAAGTCCATAAGCAGAGTTCTCAGCAGATATGGACAACATAATGTTCGTGAAAATGTCCCACTGAGCATTCCAGTGTATTTCCTAAGTAATAGTGCTCCAACCACTAACGTTAAAAAAAGTCACCCTTTCACTATTGTTATAATTGTGACAACTTCAGGATGATGAAATTAAAGAGCATATGGAAATAAAGATTCCAGAATCACCAACCCACATGCCACTGTAGTTTTCTCAATACTGCCAATATTGCCCCAAAAAGGGGAGGAGAAAAGATGTTAAGAACTCAAAGGCAGAAATACAGTTTTCCATAGACCAACTTTACTTTTTCTTAACCTTGAAATATCACTTCATAATATTCTCTGTAGTAATCTATATAGTAATCTATATAATCTATTCTCCATATTTGTCTGTAGACAAATACAGACTCACCAACCCACACACCACTTTTTGTAAACTACCGGTTTTGTCAATATTCCCACACACACACACACACACACACAAATGGAAAAAGTATTAAGAATTCAAAGAGAAAAACATAGTTTTCCATAGAGATCAACTTGATTTTTTTTCTTAACATTTAAATACCATTTTACAGTATTCTCTATAGTTGCCTAATATTCTCTACATTTATGTGAAATCATTTATTTATAAAGAAATTTGGAGGCCACCCAAAGTAACTAGTATGAAAGTTCCTCTGATTTCTTTAGCAGGTTCAAAAGCAGAATTCCCTTTTCTATTTTTCCAGTTAAAAGTTGCAAAACAAACAAAAGGTATAAAAAAAAAATTCATGCTTTCTGTTCATTATTGAAATCCTTCTTCTATTCAGAAAACAACATTTGTGGTTAAATCTAAAATGGCATTTTAATGGAACAATCTGATCTGTAACAGAACTATAATGTGGTAAGCCCCTAACAGTGAGAAATAGATACAGGGCATCTGTCCTACTCAGTGCTCCTAGCACGCATCACAGTACCAATACATACTCACTCAATAATGATATGTTTAAAAAATAACCCAATCAAATAATAAATCAATTAATAGACTAATGAACAAAAAGGAAAAGAGGGCACCAACAATTTGTGCTTTTCACTAACTAAAAACAAAACAGATTGCTTAATTTTATGTTCTATAAATTGTGTACATGTATTGGGAGTAAGCAGGTGATAATAACAAGCATTTTATTTTATTATTGTCCCTCATTTATAGCTAAATTTATAAATGAAAAGTTGCTGTAACATTATTATTGAAAATTTTGGGGCAGAAAAAAAGGTAAAATTAGACTTAATCTCCATTAGTGCCATCACTAATGGCACTAATTAAGGTATGACTTTAATTTACTGTTGTAATCCAAGCTGCTGGCACAATGTAGGCATTCAACAGATGTTTGTAGAACGAATACATCTTAACCTCATAATACTATTATTTTCATTTTTAGGTAACACCTTCTGGTATCTGTTATAAATATGTCTTTTTAGAGTTATAATTCTATTTAACACATTAAAGGGTATACTTAGTTGGCTTAACATTGCATAATAAATATTTTTCATGTTTCTGCCTAGTTTTTATGATTATGATTTTTAATGGCTGCATAAAATTCCCTCATGCAATTTTGTAATTTATTAAACTCATCTCCTGTCTTTGAACATTTAGGTTGTTTTTCAGGATTTTTTGTTACTACAAATAAAGCTACAATGAACAGTTTTGCAAATATAGCACTTTACTTTTCATGAAATTTCTTGAGAAGTGAAATTACAGAAACAAATGAAATAAACATCTTTATAGTTACTTGCTATATATTATATTGTTTTCAAATTTATACCATTTAAAATATCACCTATAACATATGAGTATAACAATTTACTCCATTCTCCCCCAGCATTTTTTTCAAATCTCATAAATGTAAAATTGCAGGTACAAAATTAATTTACGTTTTTGTTGTTAGTGAGAAAGTGCATCTCTAATTGTACTTGTTTACTGGCATTTCCTCTAATGTAAATTGCTTGTTATTTCAGTCATTTCCATTTCCATAAAAATTTTTCTAACAAATTCAGATATGCTTTTTTATATTTGACAAACAGTAATATTTTTAAAGCATGCTTGATGTACATATTTCACCCTTCTATTGTCATTTCACTTTTGGTTTTGTTTCTGTTCACTATATAGAGACATATATGAATCAGTAGAATACTTACTTCCCTTTGTGATTGTTTTGTAAACCCAACCAAATCTGTGAAATATTCTATTGTTTGCTAGTTTAATTTTTTTAAATTCTTCAATGATCAACTGTCTAAAAGAAAGCCCTGTAAGTTTTCTGAACAGTGTTGTTTAATGAAGTATAAGGATCTATTTCAAAAAGAGTCACAACTTGTACACGATGCGGCTTGTTTCTAGTGTATTAAGTGTCTTTCACTGTTCCTAAGAATAAAAACATAAAACTTATAAATGGCAACTCCAGTTTTCAACAGTATTTTGTATCACTTTCTTGTTACTGAGATATATTTGAGAGTCATTTTTGTTGTGTCTTTTCTCTTAATTTATTGATTTGTTTCATAGAACTAGGAGACACACCTCCTGTTGTTTGCTAGCGTGTTATGTGGAGCTCTGGCCTTCAAGTCTCCTTAACATTCCCCAGCTCTAGTTTCCTACCTTAGAAGGCCTAGCATTACAGCCTTCTGATAATCATTGTTTTTTCAAACTAGATTCTACAGCAGCAGTTCCCAATCCTGGCTGAAAACTAGTATTGCCTGTGGAGCTTTCGTTAATAACAGATTTACCAGATTGGGACTTCTGATTCAGGAAGTCTAGCAAAGATCCCGAAATCCATTATTTTAAAATTCTCCAGCTAGTTAAGAAACAGCCTGATTTAGGAAGCAGCCAACAGTCCTAGGACTTGAGTGGAAGGAGCTCACGGGGGCAGGAAGACCAATGAGGAGGCCCAGTGGGTGTGATGTATTCTTAGTCTGCTTATTTCTGCTTTAATTCAAGCAGCTCCACTTTGGTCTGTTTATATATTAGGGTCTGGATAAGATTTCATTTGAAGAAAAAGGTTTTCCTGCTTAAATAAAAAAATGTAAAAGTCACTGCTGTATTTGTTTAAGATCAGATTTTTAAAAAATCAATGTATATGAAGAACTGTGAAAGCATTCCATAATACATAATACTTAAAGGTTAAAGTCTGCTATCCTTAAAATCTTTCCAATATAAGTTCGTTAGTGCAGAAATACATGCAATACATCTTTTTTTTCAGCGTGGTTCATATTCCTCAACAACATCATGTAAATGCCAAGGTGTAGAAGGACATCCTCAAGATAATCTATTAATAAAGACATCCTCACCATGACCTACAAACAGCATGTGATCTGTCTACTTTCTAAACCCATTGCCTACAACTCTCCCTGCTCACAGACCTCGCGCCAGCCCCACTGGCCTCCTCACTGTTCCCTAAACAACCCAACCACGCTTCGGAAACTCAGGAGCTTTGCAGTTCAAGTTCTCTCTGACTTGTGTGATCATCCTACACATAACTATAGCGCCCATCCCCCTTCATTCAAGTCTCTGTTTAAATGTCTTTTCAGAGTGGACCTCACTGACTACCCCCCACCCCTTCCTCCCCCATGTCACTACCTATGTATTCCCTTAACTGCTTTCCTGCTGTTTTGTTTTCACACTACTTATTATCCCATGAAGCTTTATATGTTTTTAAACTGGCTAATTGTCTCTGTTCCTTGCCCAATCAGAATATAATCTCCAAAAGGACAGTGATTTTGTCTGCCCGATTCATTCTGTCATCTCAGGGCCTAGAACAGCAGAGGGCACACTGTAGTGACTCAAAATATATTGGATAAAAGCGTAAATGTCTCTTCAACGAATGAAGTAATCTTCAGAAAGTCAAGATATGGCTTTATGATACTGTAGTACTTATAGACATGTACTCATTTATGAAATGGGATGGTATTTGGAGGTTTCTTTTTCATGACAGTAGGACTATGTGATTTTATGTATCACACTGAAAAGCTCTGATCAGCTTTGTATTAAGTGAAAATGGCATGTACTGACTTATTTACAGGAATGCGCATGGCTTGTCAGTTGCCCCAACCTGAGTTTCCTCTTTTCTTTCCATGGCTGCGTCCAGTAACCTCTCCTTACGGATAACTCCCGGGTTCTGTGTGTCTGGCCTAGGCTCTCACTACATGTTAGTACCACATCCTCCAGCACATGCACTGTTATCTCCAATCGGGTAGCCTTTCACAATGTCAGACTCAGAATGCCTTCAAGTGAATTATTCAGCTTCTTTACAAACTGACTTCCTTCCCTAATTATCCCATTTCTGGTAGGGAAACAACCATTCTTCTCATAACATCTTTAGGAGGCAGATTTGACCTGTGTCTTTCTTTGTCCTCCATAGCAAATCTATCATCAAGTTCGGTCACTCATTTCTTTGAAATATCTCTTTGACACTTTCATTTTGGAGGATATGGCCTAGGTATTTCTCATTCCATATCCTCCCCATGTTTTTACCCTTTCTTTACATTTATTTTCCCTCCGTTCCAAAAAATATCCTACTTTTTTTATGGATCTTTACAAATATGACCTCTTCCGATATTTGCCCTTTGCTACTTGGCAACAATTTCACAGTTTGGCAATTACCTCTTTGTTTCATTATCTCAACTATATTTCCTCAGCTAGATTCCATGGTTTGTAGATGCAGGAAAAAAATACATATTTTTATTAGTTTTCCTAGTACATAGCATAGTGGTTGACATTTATTCTTCATTCAACATTTTTTGAGCCTCTACAATGTGCCAGGCTCTGTTCTGGGCCCTGAGATGACAGAGTAAAGCAAGCAGAAAACACAATTGAGGAAAATAATCTTATTTTCCTGAATATTTAATATATGGATAGAAAGCTTTTTCTTGAGCTAACAGGAAAATGAGAGCAAATACTTTCATTAGAAACTACAGACAGAATTAACTACATTTGATTTGACAAAATTTGTGCGGTTACTGATCATTTGCAGATTAGCATGTAAAAACTGAAATAAATGGAGAAGTCATATATGCATATAACTTTCGAATTCTCTGTGGAGAGGCTACCAAGTTGACTGATTATTGTTGAAGCTGGGTGATGGATGATACGGGCTCATTATTCTATTCTCTCTACTTTTAAATGTTTGAAATTTGCTATCATAAAACATGAAGGGGGAGAAGGGGTACACTACAAGGAAACCAGAAATACATGTATTAATAAACCTAATACTAATACACCTATGGTTTAAAGAAAAAAATTGACCAACAATGCTGACTACAGAAAATAAACTTTAAGAAAATAAACTTTAACATAAGCACATTACATAGTATTCTCAGTTATCTATATTTTACACTTTAATGGAGATCTACATACTCTATGAATCAGGCACAGTTCTTACCACGTCTATATTTACACATATGTTTCCAATGAAACTGACTAATTCTCCAATCTTTAATAATTCTGTTTATAAGGTAAGAAAGGTAACAAATAGAATATTTCAGAATCTACATCCCTAAAGTCAGAAAGCTTAAAATAAAATAGCATAAAGTAAAAACTTACAGTTTTAACATCATTTTCATGATGAAAGATATACTCAAACAAAGCCTAAGAAGAAAAAAGTACCAAAAATACATTAGATTTTATTTTTAACAAAATTATATCAAATTATAACAAAGTTATATCAAAATTCAAAGGCTATTTTAACAACAGCTGGATTGAACCAAAATAACAAGGTACTCTAAAATGCCTGGGATTTATAAATAATGGATCTATCTATCTATCATTTGTTACAATCACCCATTTTAAAATATGGCTATTTACAACTGCTTCCTATTTTTACAGATTACAAGCTGGAAAGCTCAAATAATTGAACTTTTTTTTTCTTATTACATATACTGTTTTATCAGAAAGAGACAAATTAAAAGACCAACTTTAAAATGGCCATAAAACAGATTTACCCAATTTTTCACTCTTTACATGTATTATATACAGTGATTATTATATTAACAATGACACTTTAGATATGGGAAAATCTGGAAGTTCCTTCCAAATAAAAGCAGAGTTTAAATACAAAGTGGAGTGCTGTTTGCTTAATATTCAGATGACTAATGTGCAGCCAGGGTTGAGAACCATTATTTTAATCCTTCACCCAACTCCTCTGGATAAACAAGCATTTACTGGATTACCTCTTGGTGGTACTACTTTTGTCCATAATACTATTATTTTACACTTGCAAAGAGGCTAGCAGCCCTGGAAGATATCAAGGTTATTAACAGAGAAGACTTGGAAACAACAAAAAGATGGGGAGGAATCAGGATAAGCCCCTTCTTTAAGAAACTATAGTTAACCCTTCACTTGTTCTGCTAAGACAGAAAAAAAAAAAAAGTTAAGAGTGCAGCTGGTACTATCATTGCCATGAAAAAGATGTTAGGACACCCAAAACAGTGTCAAGGAGACACCACGGACACCCCAGGCAATATGCCAACATTAGTCATGAATGCTGTTAAGTCAAGGCAAGTTGGGGACCAAAGATAGAAAGATCTGGCATCACTTCTACAACACACTAAAAAGGTGGAAAATCTAGTACCATAGACCAGGTCTGTCCAGGAAGCATCATAATTTAATTGAGGGAAATGCCTCCACTGACTGCACTCCTTGGTGAGAAAACAGCACTGGGATCAACTAGCCATCAAGCCACCTGAAGTCAATGTCCTAAAAAGGTAAGGAACCAGATATTCCACATGGGTCGCTTTAATACTCCACTCTCATGAAGGAAAGAGAGATAAGTAAAGCTTTACGATTCCTCTAAATGAAGTTGACTGGATTGTTATCAAATTAAAAATCTATTTCTTTTTTGTATTAAATTTATTGGGGTGATATAGGTTAGTAAAATTATATAGGTTTCAAGTGTACAATTCTACAATACATCATCTATATATTGCACTGTGTGTTCACCACCCAAAGTTAAATCTTCTTCCATCACCATATATCTGACCCCCTTTACCCTCTTCAAATTCTCCCCCTCCCCGCTTACCCTCTGGTAACCACTAAACTGTTGACTGTGTCTGAGTTTTCTTTGTTTGTCTTGTTTGTTTGCTGCTTTGTTTTATATCCCACATAGGAGTGAAATCATATGGTTCTTGACTTTTTCTGTCTAACTTATTTCGCTTAGCATGACAAGCTCAAGATCCATTCACATTGTCACAAATGGTAGTAAAGAAATCTATTTCTGATTTAAACTTCAAGTCTGTATGGCAGGTGTCCATTTTTATTTTCCTTAGAGTGTTTGATAGTTAGTAAATATGTTAAACACCATTAGAACTGAGATTAGGAATGAGCTTGGCATTCATGAACAGAATTCACAGAGATTACAGCTAAAAACTTGAGCTAGTCTTACACCAGTTTCCAGAAGATAAGTGCTCCTGGCTCTGAATTGTTCTACGCTCACCTCCAAGATTTTTTACACTGGAAAAGGTCATGGACACCTCTACCTCTACCTCTACCTCTCTCTCTCTCTCTCTCTCTCTCTCTCTCTCTCTCTCTCTCTCTCTCTCTCTCTCTCTCTCTCTCTCTCTCTCTCTCTCTCTCACTCACTTTCACTCTCTCTTTAATTTAAGGGAGCATTTAATCTTTGAGTAGTTAGAATTACTAATGTAGCTGGCTTGCCACTGTCTGGCTTGAGTAATCCTTATTGAGATGCCTGATTAACTATTAATTAGAAGGAGTACATATTTTTTTTATCTTCTTTTTGACAGTCCTAAAATCCTACAAGGATAGAAAATTATTTTCCTGAGAATAGTCCAAGCTGAAAAATAAAAACAAAATACACACACATACAGATGACATCCTAAGCTTCCTTCCCCAAAGATGCTGCTGCATATCTGCTTTCTTTGTTATAAATCACTGTTCTTTATAAGGAGAAAAAGAATTTTTCTATAATAATGGCATACTGTATATGCTTTATTTCTGATTGACTTTCCTTAACTCAAGGCTAAGGAATTTTACATATTAGAGTAATTAAACATTTCCATTTCAATCAAAATATGGCCTTTCCTTCACAGATTTGTATCCATTTCCTACAATGTTATTATGATAATACTTCTAACATTGCTTCATAACATAAAATAATTTTAAGCACATACCTTGGCCAATTTAGGTTTCTGGGCATATTTTGTTAAATTCAGTCTAGATAAATTGATAAAAGGTCCATCAGGACTTGTAAGCATGGAAGCCTGTGGAGAAACATGATAGAACAAGAAATATAAAACTTTCTCTTGAAACGTAAATTGAGTTTAATGTGCATAAAATTATAAAGATTACATAAGTAAAAAGAATCACCTTTTAAAATCTTCCATACATTTCTCCATGGTAACACTAGTGAACAATTATGTAACATCAAGTTGCCCTGGTCATGCAGGGCTTTGGTAAAGCTGAAAGAACCTACCGTCCCCAGCCTGACAAATCTCCCAGAGGAGTTGGTAATTGGGCGAGCTGTGTAGGCGGTTCTGGGTGTTCTAATGGCCTGTTCCATAGTGCCTGGCCTTCCGCCTTGTGTGCTGGGTCTAAGGAAGCCTGTGATGGGTCTTCCAGCTTGAGTGATTGGCCTGTGATGATTGTAGATTGTTAAAATACAAAGAAGATCAATAAAGGAAGATTCTCAAACAGTCTGGTCAATATTTTGTGCCAGAGGGTATGAAACGGAAGTACATACCTGACAGCTGGACTAGGCCCTCCCATCTGATTAGTTCCAGGGAGTTTCAAAGATGTTCCAGGGCCTATGAGACGAGACAGTACATTCAACTTATATATGATTTAGTAAACTATAAAACTGTCAGCTAACAAAATTTCCAGAAATGTGCTGGTCTGGTGAAAAAGACATTAATAACAGGGAATATATTTTAGGGAAATGTGTTTGAGACTAATATTTATTGAGCAACCATATCATGTTACTTATGTTCTCATATTTAATCCTCACACTAATTCTGTAAGGTTGGTAGTATTAACCCATTTAGCAAAGGCTTAAGAGTTAAGTAAATAGGTTAACCTGTTAGTAGAGCTGGAATTCAAACTCAACACTAGCAAGCTCCAAAGCTCCGAAGCATCAAATGATGGTTTTATACTCCTAGTTAATTTTTCATACAAACTCCTCCCAATAAAAGATCATTTACCCACACTACCTAGAATTTAGATATTTTAAATCCAAAGAAGCACAATGATGGGGGAAAAAAGGTTTTAACATGAAACATATTATTTTCTCAATTGCCATTTGAAGCTTTAAAACAGCTATTGCCTTCCAAAACACACAAATGACTGATAACTGTCATAACTAATACATTACCAGCAAGACCTCCATTTGTCATGTAATCATCCAATACCATTTATACCAGCTCAGCTGCAAGCTGGGGACTGGGCTTCTGTGACAATCCCAATAGGCATTCACAGACCAGCATATCACCCCATCACCTTACATCATTCATTAGAGCAAACTGTTTCAATTACTACAATAAAGTGTTTTTATTGTTTTTGGACGATCATTTTTTTTTTAAATCCTATTAGAACACTTCTGTTGTTTGGATGCTTCCTGTGTTTAGACTCTCAGATAAACAATCTTCTGATATATTAGATAGGCAGTTCAGATAGAATGCATTTTTACAAAATATTTTTAAATGTATAACATAGCTTTTATCAAAAAATTGTTATACATCAATCTCACATCTTAAGTTTAAGACAATATAATTAAGTTGTAGAAGGAAGGCCTTTGTACTTACAAGGCAGAATAGAGACCATTTGCTTGAGGCAATGTTTTCTCATGTATATAATATCAAGTATTCCTCCTCCTAAGGGCATTTCATTTACTTAACTGAAAAAAGCTGACACTTACGTGGAACTTGGGCAATAGCATTTTCATCCAGCATCATTTCTGCAATTCCTTCCTGATCTACATCAATTTCATCTACATACACCATTTCAGTTAGTGCTCGTGCTTTTAAAATCCAAGCTGCCTAAAAAGCATGGATAAAATAAAGCATATATTAAACAGCATTAGAAGTACCGCATGGGCTATAGAAACTAGCCACCCTTTATTATTATCTAATTTTGTATTAAGCAGGTTTACGACTTAAGGCGTTACGCTAATTTAAAGGGATATGTCAAGAAGCTAAGGAAGTAAGGTCAGTATTAATCAAGAAACAGCCAATATATCAATTACCCAATAAATGAAAGTGTGGTAATTGCCTGTAATCTTCTAACATGCCTTCTTTTAAGTAAAAGAAGATCTTCAGAGAAAATTTTACTACAATAAGAACTTGAAAACGAGTTGAGCTACAACCACAGTGCTCTTTCTGGCTTCCTCCTTCAGGGCCAAGTCCGTCATGACTTCCCTGATCATTCAACTCTAAAAGTACTTCCCTCTTGTCTTTCTCATAGAGCATTCTCTTTATACTTCTATTACTACGTACTTACCAAACACCATAATTATTTCGGCATAGGTTAGCCACCCCTTCCCCAGAACACAAGCTTTTTTACCTGGTTCACTTTTGAATTTTCCATAACACCTATAGGTTTTGTACACCGTAGGTATTCCAAAAATGTTGAATTAAACTAAGATCAATTTCTCCCAGTTCCCAATAACTAGTCAACACAATCTTGATTGCTTTGTGAGCTAGCCAGTAGAAAACCTGCTAGAAAGCGGGAAAATAATGAAAAAGGTAATTAAGGAATCTAGAAGATATTATCAGCTTTGCTTTACCATGAGAAATTAGATGCAAAGGTGAGCACAATTAAATATCTTGTTAAACATCTAAAACGACTTTATCAGAAATGTTATCTTTCTGTCTCACTACAGAATAGAAGCAGAGAACCACAAAGCTCGGTGTCCTGTGGACGATCTGGGGAGAAGGCAATTCTGGAAGCAGCAACACAGAACTGACTCTATGGACAGAGGAAGTAGCAGCAAGGGAAACCTGGGGCAGCGTAGGAGCTCACCCACTGAGTGACAGCAAAGTGACTGACAGAGGAACAGATGAGAGCTACAAGAGGTCCAAAAAGTCCTAGCATAACACACCTGTGCATTCAGTCAGTCTGTCCATATTTGTTGAGCACTTCCTAATTATATAGCACTGGATTAGGCTCAGAGAAGGAAACACGGGAGCCAAACATGGATCCTAATTTCCCCAAACACACACGACCTATTTGGAATAAATGGCAAGGAAAAGCAGTGTGTGATAGGTGACAAGTGTGTGGTGCGGAAAATAGTTTTATAGAAATTAGAAAGCAGAGATCTCTCTGTGGGCTAAAGTAATAGGACTGTATATATATATTAAAATTTTTTTAAAGAAAAGAAGAAAATCTTCATGCTTTCATTTTCATGGAAATAATGAACGCTGCCTTCGCAATGTATTTAGATTTCTAAAGTGAATTACATTTGTTAGATGATTGGTTTTTTTGGCTTGTACTTTTCTAGTTGAGGTTTACTGGATTCTTATCTGGTAAGTTAGAATAGGATGTATCGAATGTTATGTGTAAATTTAATACAATTGAATGAACAGAATATGGACTCAAAAACTAACTTGTATGTAAAAATAAAATAAAATAAATTAGAACTGCATCTAACTGTAGGAGCCACCAAAGTGTAGAAACAATCTAAGGTTTCCATTCATAAAAGATCAAGAAAGTTCCAGATCTATACTGCTATTCTCAGGGGTCAGGGAAGTCATCACTGGCTTGGACTAATGGTTTAACTTCAACGATGGAAATAAGTAATCCTGATTTATCTTAAGTCCTCACAGTTCAGAGTGCCCTGCAAGTATGTGACGGCTTTAATTTTCCAAAAGGGCATTCTTTACTCAGTACTGTGGTGGACAGGAAGGGCTGCGGTATTTTCTGTTGGAAGAGGAAGGCGGGACATGGGCTTCACTGGTTCATTCCAGTATTCCTCGGGAGCATCTACTGCTTTGCCACGCCCTGGGAACAGAGACAAGTGAGCCACAGTCCTAGTTCTAGCTCATCAGAATTTCAGCATTATGGGGAAAGTGTAATAATAAAACTCTGGAGCATGCTAGGGGAGGACAGAGAAAAGCACCCAGCTGCCTGGGGGTGGAGGGAAGGGTAGAGGAGGAGTTTGGCCCAGTGGCCAAGACAGAAAGGCTTGTACCAGGCAAAGCAATAACAGGACAAAGGCATGAGTTTGGGGGCTCATGGCATGTTTGGCAACGCCAAGAGAGGGAGCGTGGTCGAAGAATCAGGTTCAGCTCAGGCAGCAGCCAGAGAAGAAGCTGGAGAAAAGGCTGGGGCAGATGATGGACCCTGTTTGCTACAGTGAGGCACACGGATCTCTATCCTGATGAGGAGATAATGAAGCTTCAAAACTATGATTTGGAGTCCTAGTTAAACTGACTTTCTAAAAGCCAAGCTCTTATTATTATAGTATCATGTATCTAGTTGCATATATTTTTTAAACTATTGTCATGTCCATACTGTTATCTCATAGTCCAAACCATCATGCTTCTTGACATCTATCTTCCTACTAACCTTTCAAATACTAAGGAGGTGCAAGTTTGTTTGTTTTTTTATATTAGGCTAAGCAAAACATAGGAAAGTAAATCCACTATTCCCTCCCCCACCAAATGAATAATACTTCAGAAGCTAAATAACATCATTTTAAATTTTTTATTCCATTAGAATGCATTTTCAAAACTGTAAGTGGATCTAGATTTGTTTCTAAAATCTAATTCTTAAGTAGAAATAATGATGTGAATTTTTTTATTTTAAAGCTCTGTAATAAAATCTACTTAAACCATTATTTAATTTTAAATTTCATCAGTATTTGAGAATATTAATCTTCCTGAATTTCCTTCTGTCCTAAAAAAAATGACCTTCAAAATTACATATCACTGCTTGATTAAAACATCAGATTGTAGTCAAAGAACTGCTTTTGGCAATGTGAACAATCTTTGAGATTTTAATAAAAACAGCAGATGGGGCTTTGGCTTAAAAATAATAATAATACAAATTTTATTTTGGAAAAAGGCCAAATATGTTTTGCAGTCCTAAAATCCTCTGCCTGTTTAAATGAAAAACAGTTCAAAACTAATCAGTGACTAAAATAAAATGCATAATAAAGTATAATCTGCCCCTTGCATCTGAATAAATATATAAATTAGTTTTATCACATATGTTTAACTTGATAAATGACAGGGTCATGCAATTTATGTAAATAATTTGATTACCTATATATTAGAAATATTGTGAAATCCACAAAAACAATAGATTTTAGGAATTTTTTTAACAGAAAAAAAGCATAGATTCTTCCAATCTAAATGAACAGTCGTCGCATCAATTATTTCTTTTTATCTATGAAACATCGTCCCATCTTATTCACCTACCGAGTTTGTCTATAGGACATTACTCTTGCAGCAAATATCTGTCAGCTAACATCAGAAAAATATTGACTTACTTGTTCTACCTTCTGTGAGGTTAATCCAATTTTAGTTATGAAAATAAACATATGAAAAAGTAAAAAGTATACTGACCGAGCAAAACGTGTTTAAATTGTTGTTCCTTTTAGTACAGAATGCAAGGCCAGTAGTTTAAGGGCATGTAAGAAACAATTTTGCTAGGTTGTCATTAGAATAAAACCACCAAAAGAACAGTCTATCTAACCTGATTTTGACATAAGAATCAGGAAAATGTCACATTCCTCCTTGTCTATGAAACAAAAACTTAGGCACAAAATATTGAATTATTATTGTAAAGCTTCATTTATTTTGAAGTTGTAAAATGTGCAGATGAAGACAGGCAAAAGTGTGACTAGTGAGCTCAAAATAATCCAGTCAGCTTTTTTCCCTTTTTATTCTTTTAGCTATCGAGTGGATCATGAAGTCTACAGTAACAGATCAGGAAAGTAACCCCAAGTACAGGTCCTTCAGGAAGTCCCTGTGCAAGTTTGAAGTTCAAATGCCATTTAGAGTTTTTAAACCACACCAACAATGCAAATGATCGATGTTTTTTTTTTAATTTTAATTTTAACCTGAATCTTCTACAAGTGCTGAAAACGAAAAGCACATTATTCGCTCTATTTTTAATTTAGGGCCTTCTTAAATGACTTGTACATATTATGCAAAAAATAATTTTGCACCATCTATCAATTTGGAAATTATGACTGTGAACATTTCAAAGACAAACGGAATAATTTTAAAGAACAGAACGCTACATTTTAACCTATTTATGGTGTTTGTTTAATACTACACAGGCCTCCATAAGAGCACGCTATAAATTACTTTCTTCTAAAAGGTTTGATGATTACTCATATGAACCGCATATGAGGTTCAAATTGTTTGTTTACCTAAAAAAAAAAAAAAAGAAACTGTTAAAATTCTCTCTCACTTGGCAGGGCAAACACCTGGCAATATTTAAGCTCTCTGATTTACAGCTCTCTCCTCCCTTCTTATTTCCAGACTTGCAGGAAACCCTCTTGGGCTAAAAGCTTCCCTGGCCAGCTGTTCCCCAAACCAGATCTCCTCTCTCCCTCATTCGCTGTGTCTTATCCAATTAAGCGGTCTCTCTGCCACCTCCATCTCTAACCAAGTTGATTTGGTAGAAGTGGCTGTCTGGCCAGTGTCCCTTCCTTTCTTCCTCACTGCAACAGGTGCCTCTGTCTAAGACAGCGGTTCTCAACCTTCCTAATGCCGCGACCCCTTAATACAGTTCCTCATGTTGTGGTGACCCCCAACCATAAAATTATTTTTGTTGC